TATACTAGTTTTAGACAACAACAAATAAAAAAACAAAAGCATGAATGTTGACAGCAACACAGCAACAACAACAACAAACAAAAGCACCACAGTAGCAGCGGCAGTAGCAGTGCAACGGCAACAACAGCACAACAGCAACATTAATAGCAAATTTCACATCACAACAAGCAAATCACTTTCCAGCAGCAATGTTAACATTGGTTAGAGCTGTAAAAAAAATTAATTTCAGTTTAAAGTAAAAAATGACACAATACATGAATGAAATTTAAATGATAAATTGAATATTAGAATTCTATTACCTCTTTCTATATCCTCCAAATCTGTAAATTTTTCTTCCATCTGAAGTGGCAATGGTGAAGAATGCAACCAATCTTGTGTACAAATTAAACTTTCAACAAGTTTTGGAGTAAGAGAACTACGAAATTGGTCAAGGATACGACCTCCTGTGCTGAAAGTAGACTCAGAAGCAACAGTAGAGACATGAATGGCCAAAATATCCCTTGCAACTTGAGAAAGAACTTTATATCTTGAAGAATTTGTCTTCCACCAACTTAAGATGTCAAAGTTTGCAACTTCCATTTTACAAGATTTTTCCAAATACCTATCTACTTCTGACTTTCCTGTATCACCTTCTTCTTCCTCTAAAAGCTTTTGAAATTTTGTCATAAGTGACACTTGCTGCTCACTTGTACCAATGTTTACTTGATCAACAATGTCTACCTCATGAACCATTTCATTAGAAGATGAAGCAACTGTCTCAAACTGTTTATACTCATCAAAAATGTTATTCAAAGTGTCTCTTACTTTTTGAGTGAGTTCACTCACCATGGCAGGCTGATAAACTTCAAAATAACAAAACCTCACATACTTCAACTTATAACGAGGATCTAGCACAACAGCAATCAATAACATCAAATTTATTTTTTCAATTTTTCCCCAATACTTGTCAAATTTAGTCTTCATTTTCATTGCCATGGCTTTTAAAGAAGGATCTAAACTCTTTCCCCATTTAAGGCATTTTCTATAGCACAAACTTCAGTTCAGTATAAGTTGGAAACTTTAGTGAAGTACAAGTTGGAAGTGACATACAAAGACCCAGACAAGCAAATAGTTGCGTCATAAAACTTTTGCAAAAATTGTGTAAGAACATGTGCATCTTCCCAATCTTGAGTGGTAGGAGGTCTATGATTAAGTTCTATTTTGAAATGTGGGTCCTCATCCTCTAATCTCTCAAATACTTTTTGCACTTTGTTACAACATCTAGCCTTAGATATGTGGAGTTCCACCTAGTTTGAACATCTAGACACAACAAGCTTTTACATGTTACCCTCTCTGTTTCAGCACATGTCCTGAAAAATTGTTCTTGTTGTGGAGAACTCCTTACATACTTCACCGCATCACGAATTCGAGTTATTAAATCTTTTATTTCACTTAACCCATCCTTGACAATTAAATTAATTATATGGGCACAACACCTCATATGCAAGTACTCACCCCTTAAAATCAAAGAGTCACTGTTTTTAGAAAACTTCATTTTCACATATGCAATAGCTACATCATTAGCACTTGCATTATCCACAATGATTGTACTAAACTTCTCTATAGCCCAGTCAACTAAACATGATTCCACTGCCTTACCAATTGCCTCCCCTTCGTGACTAGAAATCACACTAAAGTTGACAATTCTTTTTTGCAAATTTCAGTCTTTATCATTAAAGTGGGCTATTAGGCACACATATGAAACATTTTGTAGAGATGTCCATGAATCCGTAGTGAGACAAAGTCTATAGTTTGAATTCTTCAACACATTTTTCAATTTTTTCTTCTCACTACAATATAAATACACAATATCTCTTTCATCACACTACAAAATTGACGGAATCCTTCACGCTCTACAAACGTAAATGGAATTCATCAATGATTACCATTTTAACAAGTGAATCCCTACATGCTTGTTGATCAAATTTCCAAACTCCAAGAGTTTTTTCACCTTCTGTTATAGATTGAAATGCCAAAGTCTTTTGTTTTTTATTTTCTTTATTCTGAGGGGACTTAGGACAGTTTGCAATATGTTTTCTCAAAGTGCTGGCTCCATTTGCACTAATCCAAGCATAAGAAGCTTTACAATGGTTACATTTAACACATGCAGTAATCTTACTCCCTTCTTTAAAAATTTTGGTAAAATGCTCCCAAACTTCAGAATATTGTCTAGCTTTTGGCTTAGGAGGAGGGGGGCATACCTTTTAACCTGAAGGAGTTTCAGGCTAAGGATCATGCTTTGGCTCAGATTGAGACTAAGAGAGGTCGATGACATCATTTGTGTCTCCAATACTTGATATCTATCAAACAAGAAAAAGAAATACATCCAAAAAAAAAAAAGATTAATATTATTAGAGAATAGTTCCTTTGTGTGGGTCTATTTATGTGTTACTGTTAAGTAATAACTGAACCACTATTCTGATGCTAGAAATTGATAAGATCATGCATAATTCTTTGCTGATGTATTTGGTTTCTACCAAATTAGCTAATATTGCTGATAAATCAGTTTGTTGCTGAATGAGCTAGATGGCTCATCAATGGATGGTTTTAGTGTGATGAATGCTTTTGTCAATATAAAATACATATATACACAGTATATGGTTAACTTATTGCAATATATTTATATTTATTTTTCTCAGGTTACTTCAGGAATGAGCCCAGATTAATGAGCCCAGCTTTCAATCTTTATCGATGCAACTTAATTGGATTACTTACATACAGAAATCAAAGAAAAAAGAAAATTGTGATGAATTCTTTTGTCAATATAAAATACATATATACATAGTAAATGGTTAACTTATTGCAATATATTTATATTTATTTTTCTCAGGTTACTTCAGGAATGAGCCCAGATTAATGAGCCCAGCTTTCAATCTTTATGGATGCACCTTAATTGGATTACTTACGTACAGAATTCAAAGAAAAAAAGAAAACTATGATGAATGCTTTTGTCAAGATAAAATATATATATATACACAAAGTATATGGTTAACTTATTGCAATATATTTATATTTATTTTTCTTAGGTTACTTCAGGAATGAGCCCAGATTAATGAGCCTAGCTTTTAATCTTTATGGATGCACCTTAATTGGATTATTTACATACAGAAATCAAAGAAAAAAGAAAACTGTGGATTACTTACATATAGAAATCAAAGAAAAAACATACGCTACGGATTTTTTTTTTTACTTACATTTAAAAATAAAAACAAAAAACAAAAAGATAAGATGAAATCAAAAATAAATAAATAAATAAAAACAGAAAAAATAAAAATAAAAATAAAAACAGAAAAAATAATAATAAAAACAGAAAAAAGAAAATAGAATAAAATATAAATAAAAATAGAAAAAATAAAAATAAAACCTCTTACTTACATTTACCGAATCCATTGTAGATGACATGAACAATCGATTTGAGATTAAATCCATCGATCTAAGATGAAGTCACAGCAGTGTATTGTGAGATAAGATGAAATCAAAAATAAATAAATAAAAACAAAAAAAATAAAAATAAAAATAAAAACAGAAAAAATAATAATAAAAAAAGAAAAAAGAAAATAGAATAAAATATAAATAAAAATAGAAAAAATAAAAATAAAACCTCTTACTTACATTTACCGAATCCATTGTAGATGACATGAACAATCGATTTGAGATTAAATCCATCGATCTAAGATGAAGTCACAGCAGTGTATTGTGTATGTTTTTTCTTTGAGATTAAACTCAAAATCCACCGATCTGAGATGAAATCACAGCAGTGTATTGTGTACGTTTTTTCTTTGAGATTAAACCCATTTCAGAGTGTTAGAGAGATAGAGAGCTCATCGAGAGAGAGAGAGAGAGAGAGAGAAGCAGCTTACTGATCTGATCTGAGATGGACAAGAGTATGAGAGAGAACTTAGTCTAAGATGACACTTTAGCTTTTATATGAAACAAGAAATTATATTGTGTGGGAGGGTATATGGTATAAATATAGATTATTTCTAGACGGTCCGGATCAGTTCCAATCCGGAACCGTGGGATTCAATCCAAAACCAATCCGTGGCGTACGGTTTTGAAATTTCCAATTCGGAATCAAACCACGGATTCAAAAAAACAATCCAAACCTATCGGATTGGACTAGACCAGATTAAATTACGGATTTTACGGATTCCTTGCTCAGCCCTAACAAATAATTGCCTTGAAATTGAAAGCTTAGGCAAGAAAAGTTCATCAAGTCTTTGATGCTTTAATTTGATTGGACTTTCTTTCTACTTCGTTTATGTATGTAGAGTTATGTGGGTCAAATTCTTTTGAAGATCACCTCAATTTATAAGCATGGATGGAGGAGAGCCGTGATAGATTTCAACTTCTTTGATAATTATCTCTAACTTATTTAAAGATAAATATCAAAATATCACTTTAATAGTATATTATATAATTTAATTGGTTTGACCACATCAATATGGTAAGTAACTTAATTTGATTACTCAAATGATTGTTTATTAAAAAGTGCATCATTTTAGTATGCAAAAATATTTTATTTGACCACTATGTAATTTTGACTTAAGATCAATTAAAAACATAATAAAATTTGATTTGCTAATAATTATGTCATATTTCACTACAAGAAATTACACATTGTCCAACCACTTTTGCCAACTAAAAAAATTTTAGTCGCAAAAAATGACATTTGGCAACCAAAAAAAAAGTTCGTAACTAAAAATTGATACTATTACCGACTAAAGCAATTTTGTTGCAAAAAAGTTTTTTTTGCGACCAAATGAAAATATTAGTCGCCAAAAATATTGGCGGGAGGTGAAAATCTAGACAAGAATAGTAAAAACGATTAGCAACTAAAACAATTTAGTTGCAGATATTAAAATGACGTGGTTTTGATATCTAAATACACGGAAGGACCATGGCCGACCAACACTGTTGTACGGGATAACTAAACTAATTGAAACCTATATCACAAAAAAAAAAAAAAAAAAAAAAAAAAAAAGAAAAAGGCGCCTCTCAATCGAATTCGATCACACCTCAGTCGCGCCAATCACCTCGCCTCACAATCAACATTGCCGTCCGCCGTCCTCGCCTTTCCATCATCAACGCCGCCGTCTGTCTTCCCCATTTCTGATTCGTCTTCGCCTGGCACCGTCATCTAGGTTTTTTTTTTTCAACCTTCTGTCTCTCTCTGATTCGTCTTCTGTTTATATCTCTCTGATTCGTCTTCGCCATTTCTGATTCCGCTTTCTCATACTCTTCTTGTTCTACAATGTCTCACCCACCAAGGTCCTCACCATTGCAATTTTTCAGAGCATCTTGAACTCTCCCTAAAAACAATTTGAGGTATAAATCCTCTCTCTCACTCTCACTCTCACTCACTCAGTCTTTATCTCTCTCTCTCACTCTCAATGTTTCTGTTGATGTTTGCTGCTGGGATATGTCGATAATAGGATTTCAATCTGTTGTTTGTGAGGGCCCCCAATCTGTGATGTTCCCTTGGAGTGTTTTATTTCTTCTCTTTCTTTAAGTATCGCCTTTTATTTGTGAATTACAAGCGGATTTGGGGAAAATTACAAAAAAATTTCTGGAAGGATTCACATAATAAAGAACAAGAACCTATAAGTTAATTTATTTATTTTTATTTGTAAATTATTTAACCTGTGATTATTTGGTTCAGATTCATTTTATTTGGAGATATGATAAATTATTGCTATGGTAGTTTACCAAAAGATCATTATTGTTATTATCACAATAGTAGTAGGGATTTCAATTGATTTATCATTCCACCAAACTTATTTAGTGGTGGAACTCATTGTTGGGCATCTTGAAATGGAATGTGTTGAAACCCTGATTGCAATTTGATGTATCATTCTATGACTCGACAGAGATCTTTTGGTTTGTAACTGTTTGCCTTTCCAAAATTTGTGACTAGCTAAAATTGCATATTTTTGACCATTGGGTTAGTCTGTTGAGTTAGTCTGTTGGGCATCTTGGAGTTTGCCGAGGGATGCCCTCTTGGCAAGTCTGGCTTACAGTGGCTCAAGATACATATGGCGAATTTGTATGCTAGTGGTGTGGGCAAGTTTTCCTACGAGGGTCGAATTGCATTTATTGAGAATCATTTAGATGATATCTTTGATTCAGCAGACAGACCTCTTGAAAGAAGGCGCTGGTGGTTGGTTGCAGAGGATCCATGTCAATGCTTGGCAACATGTATTAATCTTGCTGAAGCATTGAGAAGCTCCTCTCCAAAGACTACTATTTCATGCATGCCTGTCCACAAGGTACTGTAGTCTAACCATAAAAAAAAAAAAAATTGATCTGGGAATTCATCAGCAATATGTATCTGTGTTTGTGTGCATTTGTCTGCTCAAAAATTGAACAAGGCCTTCAGTACCAACTATTTATTCCGATTTATAAAATAGAAGAATGGAAACAAGATATGGACAGAGAAAAAAAAAAGAAAAAAAGAAAAACTTTATGCCAGCTGAATCTAGGAAATGAACATAAATTTTATTGAGCTTTGCTTCCAAGTTATCAATTGAAGTTTCTCTTAATTTAATTTATTTCATTTTTAAAAGATCCTGTTTTCTATTCCGTAAGCAATGTGCTTGCAGAGAGGAATAGTATTTAAAAAAGAAAAAAGAAAAAAGAAGCATCTATTCTGGCTTTTGTCACAGTTCCTACTATAATTTCAAGTCTTCAATATATTAAAGCTTCTGATAATTGAAGCTCAATGACATGTTGTATAGTTATATTTTACTCTCTCATGTATATGTGCTTATGGCACCCACACATACATCCAATCAGACAAATTTGTACATATGTGCTGTAAAATACATTTAAAATTACAATTTCAATGTAATACGCTTTATGTCTATGCTGAGACAGAGTGTCCCATCCTATTTGTTGACAGATCATAGACTAAAGACATCAACAAGTAATGGAGATAATAGATTTTCGCTGGTCTTCTTGTTGCATAATGTCGCTACTTGTGAAATTAAGAAAACATCAAGCAGATGCTACAATTTTATTGTTATTTTTATTTTTAAACATTTTGATACGTAAATACAAGTTACATTTTCTTTTTGTTGTTATACTGAATTCTGGAATACACACCATTGCCCAAGCTTTAATCTAAGATTTTTTCCCTCTATTTTTCCCTCTTCAAGGATGCTTCATGTAATGGCCTGCAATACTATGCTACCCTTGGGGGGGACAAGGTAATAAAATCTCTATCGCTTAGCTCATATGAAGTTGTTCACTTTTGGCCATGGTTGTCTTGTTCTTGTATTGTAGTGAAAAAAACTACTTTCGTTCAGTTAGGAGCAGCTGCAATCAATCTTGTTGCAGGAGAGAAGCCTGCAGATGTTTACTTGGGAATTACTGTTAGGTACACAATTCTCTTCAGATATATATGTTTTCTTTTCTAGTTTCTTTTTCTTTCCTCTTTTTGTTGGTGTGTGTGTGTATATATATTATCTATTAATAAAGGAAGAAGGGAATTCGTAAGTGACATGTACATCACTACTAGCTTCCGTTAACCAATATTTGGAAGGCTGCTAATTTTCAGTTCTATAAACTTTAGAGGTGAACCATCTTGATTAAATTCTCTAGGAACATATAAGTTGGGTGTGAAGTGTGAAAAATTAGTGTCAGGATTAGAAGAGAGAAAGATAGAAATAAAGAAGAGAAGAGAATACGATGAATAGGTTTGGGTGTATGTCAAACCATCCATCTTAGAGCATATTTTATATTAGAACAATAGAATGTGATAATAATATCATGAATGCAAAATAACATAAAACATACAACAACAAAAGAAAAAAATACTCTGGAAAATCAATATCACCAATAACAATGAAATGTCTGGATCCAGTCTGAACATACCTGATCAATGTCATTTATGGTCTCTTCTCTGATTCTGAAAAACAAATTACTAACTGGAAATAGAAAAGAATTGAGGTCATGTCTTTGTTCAGAAGCTAAGTGCACTGGATGACCAGCTTGGAGATGGATCAAGGGAGTTACCTCATGGTCCTTGTGTGGAGCTCATGAATGAAAATTTATATTGTGGTATTACATGGAGGTGCTTAGACAGATCTGATAAAGATGCCTTGGCTTGTGACATCCTCTTGAATCACAATTGTGAAAATCTCCCCTGTAAATACTATTGATATTCTTGCTGTGATGCATAGTTCTTGATATTATGCGGAGAGATGCAGAAAAAGATCCCGCAACTGATCCGAATGCATCGCGTGCTAGGCTTTTAATTAATCAAGTTCAATTGCTTCTCATGTTCATTTAATTCTTATGGTGTTTAATTCATGTATAAGATATCGTACTGAAAATAGATGCATTGAACTTGTTAAAGCCACAATAATTCTCTACCATTCTTAAGAATTTAGCTAATTCAGATAGGTGCTTCCCAAATTTCATTACTTTTCCTGAACCTAATTTAGTTCTATCACTGATTTCCTACCTTCGCAACTGGAAATCTTCAGGTAGACAGGAAATTGGTTAAGCAAACGGTGATGAAATCACTGTATGGCATGACTTGTATTGGTGCCCATGACCAAATCAAGAAGAGGCTAAAAGACCGTTGTGCCATTGAAGACGAAGATGAGTTGTTTGCAGCATCTTGTTATGCAACAAAAGTAAATACATACCGCTATAGTAAATCTTTAACTTTGTTGGTTTTTGGCTTTTTTTCCAATAAAATAGCTATAATTGTGATACGGTGGTCGACAAAGTCACACCAGCAGTTTGTAATAAATGTTGGGATGCCTGCTTTTTCACATTCTCAGCCTAACAATTTTTTTCCCTCTATATATTAAGGAAGGTTTAAGTTAACTATGATTCACTGTATGGCAGGCCACCTTGACCACATTGGGTGAGATGTTTGAAGCTGCACAAAGTATCATGAGTTGGCTCAGTGACTGTGCAAAGGTCTATTCACTATAATTTTAGATGTTTTTCCTAGTAAAAGAGATATGTACAGATTGTGACCATCAATAGCTGTGAAGCTAATCCGTGTGTGCAAAAATGGGTTTAAATATGTTACATGACGATTGTGTTGTGGTCGCTGCCCAATAGGTAAAAACAAAATAACAATGCATGTGATGGGAAAATGTTGTTTAGTGTTGAGTACTGTTATGTTTTTGCTACAGTCATAAGTCACCCCATGCAATCAGTTTGCTGCCCATTCTGTTTTTGTCGTACTCCTACTCCAATAAATTATGAATTTAAGTTCATATATGGTGGTCATGTTTTTCAGTTATGTAATTTTATTAAGTTCAGGTGTCAGATATACTCTAGAAATCTGAACTACATGTTTGCCTATCCAATTTAATGGATGATGAAGTTCTGGTGATGACTGCAAACCGGTGTCAGCATGGACTTGTGTGGTGTCTGAGCGTATGCGAGCAGGAGCTTGTGTGGTGTGTCACGTGTGTATCATAAACATCCTCTATACCATTCTCTCTTGTACTATTTTTATATAGACTCGCGTACTGGTGTTTGGTTTGAGTTTGTGTCTAAGTGTCTGATTAGTCTAATTCAATGTTCAAGGACTTCATCATTTTGTGTATAGAAATTAGAGACTATGGTACTCTCTTCTCAAGGCAATCACATATTCATTCTTTTCATTTCCCTGATATCATATGCACAATGGACCATCCATTATCATATATATATATATATATATGCCCATTCATGATTTACAAAGAAATCATGGAAAAAAATTGGTTTTGGTTTTGGTTTTGGTTTTGGTTTTGATTTTGAGAGAGCAATCTTTTTAAGAGCCTACCTGTGAATCATCTCCTTCCTCCTCTTTAATCCTTTAGGGACTTCTATATCTGTCTGAGAAAAGGCCATGGAAAAATCTTTTTGTTTTACTTGATTATTCTACTCCCTTCCCTTGCAATTCTCTCTCTTTGAGGAAACTGCATAACAATGCTTGAGCAATATTGTATAATGGCATGGTATAAGAGTAGGGTAATAATAAAATCTATGTAAAATAATTTGAAAAACTGGTACTCATTCATTTCAAACCAATACATCTTTATTTGTTATTTCAAAATGTTACTACCATTTGCCAATCATTTTTTTTTCCTAGTATATGGTAACAGGGAAAGGAAAAAGAAGGGAAAAAAAAAAGAAAAGGAAAGAAAAAAAAATTGTAATTCAAATCTCCTCCTTCAAAACACCACCAGTCATCTTTTGCTATTCACGTGCAGTGGATACAATGTGAGAAAGGAAGGATATGTTGTTACTTGGTTTGTTTGTTCTCATGTGAGTTGTATATCCTTACTGGTTTTGTTCTCTTATATTTTGCCTACATGTACTCAGTGTTGTGCCCTTGCAGGCTCTTCTTTCATGAAATTGTTAGTATTATGGGACCAGCTTATTCTCTCTCTCTCTCTCTCTCTCTCTCTCTCTCTCTCTCTCACACACACACACACACACACACACACACACACACACACACACACACACATTGTTATGCAGTTAATTCTTGTGTTTTGCATTGAATGACAGCCCTATAAATAGGATTCTCAGTTGCAGATCTTTCATCAAAACTGAATGTAGTTCTTAATTTTGTTCATTTACCGAGGAGTCAGTCCTAGTCCTGGTAATGGTAGCTAAAGTGAACTGGAGGTATATGTCTTGCTGTCTTTGAACAAATTGTCATCAAAAGTGAACTTTATTAATTATTAATTAATTTATTCCATGAGTTGTTTTATTTACAGGAGCAATTAAGAGGCAGTGGTGATGATATTGCGGCTGCTGATTATACTGATGCACTGAAGCCTTCTGTCATTGCACTGCCTCTACATGGATGTAAGTCTGGAACTATTTTACATCTGAGACACTTCTATCAGTTCTTTAAACTTTTAAATAGACACCTTTTTCAGTTGTAACCAGTGACCAAGTTGAATGTATTAGTTGAGCAGAAACATCAAAATTCAAATGAAGAATTTTGAATTTATTACGCTTCACATTACTTGGATTAGGATTTTTAAAGTTTCTGCTCAACTTAGCAACCACCTAGAAGTAAACAGGATTTTTTAATTTGATTCTTAACTCTATCTGCTTTTTGGGTTTTTGATTATGCTTCATTTGGTTTCTGAGAAAATCTAGTAAAGAGAAGGAAAATTTTGAATTTATTAGGTTTCTCATTACTTGAATTGGGAATGTAAAAAGTTTTACTGAACTTAGCGTAGTAGAAGTAGATAGCATTAGTTAATTGAATTCTTAATTTTGTTGTCTATTTGGATTATGGGAAAATCGAAGCATTAGTTACTATATTCTCTCTATGTACTTCTTGGGTTTTTGATTATACTCTGTTTGGTTGTTGAGTAAATGTAGTAAAGAGAAATGAAGGAAGAATTTGAACTTTTTAAGTTTCTCATTACTTGGATTGGGAATTTAAAATTTTCTAGCTCAACTTAGCCTTCTAGAAGTAAATAGCATTAGTTAACTGAATTCTTAATTCTGTTGTCTGTTTGGATTATTTGGATTATGGGGAAATTGAAGCATTAGTTACTATATTCTCTCTATGTACTTCTTGGGTTTTTGATTATACTCCGTTTCGTTGTTGAGTAAATGTATTAAAGAGAAATGAAGGAAGAATTTGAACTTTTTAAGTTTCTCATTACTTGGATTGGGAATTTAAAATTTTCTAGCTCAACTTAGCCTTCTAGAAGTAAATAGCATTAGTTAACTGAATTCTTAATTCTGTTGTCTGTTTGGATGATGAGAAAACAGAAGAAGGAATTGCAATTTTAAGATATATTTTGATTTTGAAAACTGAACTTCAGCTTTAAAAAAAAAGTAATACCTATGCTCATTCGAGCAGGGGTTATACTTTTTTTAGGTTTTTAGGTAATGACAAAGATAATGTATTGAAAGGCATTTGTCTGTGGTTGGATTAAAGTTTGTCAATTTCTTCAATATTAGTTTTAGTTTTTGTTGGTTTCACATCTATCTTAATTCACTAACAGTATCAATACATTAGATTGATTTCTATGTTTTCTTTTAGTTCTAGGGTTTTGTTTTTGGTTTCATTCACAATAGGACCTTACTAACTAAGGATAAGTCAGAAAATCAGACATAAGAAAAATAAAAATAAAAGAGAGAGAGAGAGAGAACAGAAAGAAAGAATTTTGTATCTTTGTATCTTCGTATCTTCGTATCTTCTTCACGTTTTGAATTCTGCAGTACAAGTACTTGAGTTACAAGTATTCCTGCAACTGTGCTTACTATAACTTTGTGCAGTAGAATTTTAGTTTTTTTAAAACCAATTACAAGATAAAACTCAAGATTTTCCTTTTTACCCTTTTCTGTTTTCTTTTATTTTCTTAGGAAGTTGTTGAGCATATGGTATATAGTTGTTCAAATAGTTTTTAATTCCCTATCTAAATTTGAGAAATGAAGAACTCTATTGGCTATTTAGCTAATGGTTGGTGGTTATTGTGGCTGAATGGGCCACTTCGCAGCCTTCACAAAGGGTGCTAGCCATGGTTTTGAACATTGGCCATTTCGACGCGAACTGGCTAATGTGTGTCTAGTTTTTAACTTGTAACTCCTGTCTACATTATTCAGAGTAACGTGTAACAAGGCATTGTGGTTTCATGAATAGATAGCTTTTGCTGGAAAATTGAGTATCTTATCTTATCTGTTCACTAATTGATTTGTGTCTTTCTCTTTGCAATTAGCAGAAGCAGCAAAAGCACAATTTTCACGTGATTGCAGTGATCTCCTTGCTCTTGTCCGGGATTATGAGGGTTGAAAAGAAGCTAAAAGAGATGTAGCTGGATATGAATATTACTGGAAGAATTTTATTTCTGCTCAATCAATGAAAGCTATTGATGCTCTGTGAAGGGAGTTCTACTCTTCACTTAAGGAATATATTTTAAATTTTAATACTAGATGGATGTGAATTGCATGATTATATATATTACAAGCGGATTTTTAATTGAAGGAATATGTAGTTTAGAATTATTTGTAGATAAAAATTTATAATAGTTGCCGACTTTAATTAAACAGGTTCAGAATTTGATGATTTATATATTTTGTTGAATGTTCATGATTTAGGTGAATTGTTGGTTTGATTGATTATTATAAATTACAGATTGTATTGAATGGATTGGATTGATTATTATGAATTATAAGTTTATTTTGTTGCATGCTGGCGCAAACATTCCTTTTGGTGACCAAACTTTTTGATCGTAGAATGTGACAATTGGCGACCAAATTAAGAGGTCGTAAAATGTCACAATTGGCGATTAAATTTTTTGGTTGTGGAATGTGACAATTGGTGACCAAACTTTTTGGTCGTGGCATGTAATAATTGGTGACCAAATTTTTTGGTCATGAATATGAAAATTGGCGACCAAACATTTTAATCGTGGAATATGACAATTGGCAACTAACATGTTTGGTCGGCAATACGTCACGTTTTGCGACTAAAGTGTTTTAGTTACTAAATTGATTAGTCACAGTAATGATATATTTAGCGATCAAAAATTTAGTCGACAAATCCAATTTTTTCCCTACTAACAAAAGTTTTGGTCGCTAATTACTTTTGCCAACCCTTAATTGGCAACTAAAGTGGGCGACCAAAAAAATTGGCCGCAAATAGCTTTTGCCGACTAAAATTAGACTTTTGTCGACTAAATTTTTAGTCGGCAAAAATGCGATTTCCAGTAGTGTTTTTTAAGGTATGACAATTTGCCATTGGCGAAAAGTAATCAAGTAACTTTCCCAAATTTGGGGAAATGGGGATTTGGAGGATGTTCGGAAGGTGGGATTGGGTTTTTTCCCTGTATGTTCTTGGGATAGAGAACTTTAAAAATTCTAATACTATGTTTGGATTATAAATTTTGGTAAAAAATTAGAAAGAGAAAGTAGGTTTCCGATTCTTAAGGTGGCAAGCCACAAGTTCATCCAGCCATATAATTATAACAGTTTAACCTTTTATTTGAAGTATGGAATTGAAGCTTATAGATTTTCGGAAGACATTGGTGTTCTTTTTGCTTTCCATGCTTTAATAGTATAAAAGTTTGCCTTGTTAACTGCTCAAATTTAATTTGAATCTAATCTGAAAGTGATTTCAAGATTTTGTATCTATTGACGAATATCTGATCTAAGAAATTGACGAATATCTAAAGAAACATGATTGATCCATTGAATTTGAGCTCACTCAAATTACTCGAATTATATAAGTCAGACGTCTGGTGGGACGACCGGCGTCACCCTTATGAACCACTCTTGTTAGCTGCAGTTGTCACTTTTGTTTACCGGTGTGTCAACTGGCAATTGCCCGAATGACCGATTGGACGACCAGCATGCACAAATTTAAACAATTCAGACGAACCCAAATTCAATGAATGTAACAATGCTCAAATCTAAAATTGATTGATCATACAATAATTAGATTCGGATAAATCCAATCCAATTATTCAGATTTTATTTATATATATAAATAAGACTCATATTTTCAAAATAATGGGCAATAACAATGAAAAAAATAAATGAAACCTCAAATATATCACTTTTCCATATTGTCAATGGATTGAATCACAATTCGATCTATTGATCGGTGAGGAGCTCCTTTCCATTTCTCATCTCTCCATATTCCTTCATATTCTTCTTGTGAGTTTTAATTCAGGCATACATAAATGAACTGAAGGGTCTACTTTATAGACCTAACGGTAAAGGTTATCCATGCAAAAAAAAAAAAACAGCTTCATTAGATGAATATAAACACATGAACAATGATGGTTTAAGTTTATAATAATATTTGCCGTGTATTTTATAAAATTTAATTTAATTTGTTCCTATGTTTATAATTGTTTGATGAATTTAATTTTTTGCATGGATGATGTTTATTGTGGGACTTATGAGATAGATGGTTTAGATTATCGATATGAGTTCGAAATGGGAATTACAAAAGAAGTACAGAAAAGTATGGAGAAATCTATACTATAAAATACAAAAAGTCAAAAAGTCACTATCCTATTTAAGTCACATTACCTCTCTACCACATCACTTCAAACCCAACCCATACCCAATTCATATTTCATAAAAAGTAAAAAAGTGCACTTATTTAGGACATTCCAAATCACCCCTAAGCAAAAGGGGGTTTCTAACTCTCAAGGCTTGTGGGAGCGCCAATATGCTAATCCTAATTTTCTAATTTTTTGTTTTTTTTAAAAAAAAAAAACTAACCTCAGCATTTATTAACTTCTCTCAACCCACAAGACTTTTTGACTTCTCTCATAATTACTGCTGTGTCTTTTCCAAAACAAACCGTGGAGTACATCCCCTATCTCCTCCCACACAAAACAATGTATGCAAACACATAACATATACAACACACAATCAATACACATAATGTCTGTATTAATTCAGCAGTCAAAGTTGATGACTTAATCAATGATTAGTTTCAGTTATCCCTAATCCACATGCAGTGTCTACAACAAGCACGACTATCCTCCACCGATAGCCCAAAACAGTTATTTCTAGACTTGGAAATAAATATACCAACAATTCAATAGACGAGTGATTTAAATTAACCAACTACGCCATTCAATCAATGAATTCCCCAATTCCATGAATTTAACCATCTTTTCCCAATTCCATGAATTAATTATACAAATTAATTTAATAACTACAACTAGGGTTTTCCCAAAATTATCAAAGTAACCCCAACATATCAAAATACTAAAACTTAGAACAAAACTTATAAAATGGAGTAGGAAATCCCTACCTTGAAGAAAAGAACTCGAATGGAGAAGATGACGAAAACCAAAGTGCTCCAAACCCTAGATTGTTCAAATTAAACGGAAGCCCTCGACCCACTCTAACTTTTAAACAAAGGACTTAGGGTAGAAATACACTCTAAGTAGATCAAACCTAAGAGAGAAGGTGTGTAGGGAGAGGGAGAAGACGGTTCTAGGGTTTTAAAATCAAAAAGGAGATGAAAAATGATCCAGAAAGTCGGATCTCGAATTTTTATACCAGTCGCCCGCTCGAGCATGGAAACCCCCGCTCGAGCGCCACTCACAGACTCCCGCTCGAGCGGCCAAACACCCGCTCAAGCGGTGAATGCACACTCCCAGAAGTTTTTGCAGACAGGTCCCCGCTCGAACTCCCAACTCCCCGCTCGAGCGTCACTCACGACTTCCCGCTCGAGCGTCCAATCCCCCGCTCGAGCGGCCAACACAACACAGGACATACTGGATGGGTGTATTCTCCGCTCGAGCATCCAAAACCCCGCTCGAGCGGACAAGCAAAAATCTGGGCAACTAGACTTGGTTCCTAAGCTCAACCAACCTGCTCCAAATCTTCCCAACACAACCCAAGACTCAAAATAAGGATTAAAGGGTGCAAACAGCATACTCTCAACAACCAGCTCCACGGAACCTAAGTCTGTATATAACAAGTAAAGAAAAAGGAAACTGGGATCGCTATACCCACCACATATGATTATTATCCCTCATAATAACACTTTAATGCATTAAGAACAAACATAAAAAAATTTCTTGAAAAGTCCAACACATATGATTATTATCAAAATATTAAACTTTAATATAATATAATAAAAAAAGAAGACATTTAATTCCTTGAAAAGTCCAACACATATGATTATTATCAAAATATTAAACTTTAACATACTGTAAAAAAGGAAAAAAAGAAGACATTTAAAAAAATAATAATAATAAAAATCGCAATTCACATATATAGATAATTGTAAATATATTAAGAAAAAAAAGGGGTTTCTAACTCTCAAGTTTTGTGGGAGTTCCAATATCCCAATCTAAATTTTTTGATTTTTTGATTTTAAAAAAAAAATTCTTAACATTTATTAGCTTCTCTCAACTCACAAGCCTTACCCTCATAACAACACTTTAATGCATTAAGAACAAATATAGAAAAAAAAAATTATTAAAAAGTTCAACACACGAATTTCTTAAAAAATCCAACACATACATATGATTATTATCACTCATAATAATATTTTAATGTATTAAGAACATGCACAAAAAAAAAATCCTTAAAAAGGCCAACACATATGAATTCTTTGAAAAGTCCAACATATATGATTATTATCCATCATAATAACACTTTAATGCATTAAGAATAAGTACAAAAAAAAATTCCTTGAAAGTCCAACATATATGAATTCCTTGAAAAGTCCAACACATATGATTATTATCAAAATATTAAACTTCAATCTAATATACAAAAGAAAAAAAAAGAAGAAGAAGACATTTAAAAAAAAAAAAGATATTTAAAAATCACAATTCATATATATAAATAATTGTAAACACAATATGTACATAACACGAATGATATGCTAGTATGGGTATAAAGGGAAGCTAATCTTTGTGAGAATATTTACAATTGCCTTAATTGGGCTTGTGGGATTGACTTTACAAAAATGGGCATCCTAATCAAATATTAATTATTAAAAGGGTAAATTATAATTACATCCCCCAATGTTTCCTTAAATACGAATTGTCCCTATGATTTAAAAAATTATAAAATAACCCTTTGTCAGAATTTTTTATTTGACAAAATTAATTGAAAAAATAAATTTTTTAACTTCTCTCTTAAACAATAATAAAATTATCTTAATTATTAATTGAAATATATTTTTAATATCATTAAATACTGATAATTGACTTGATGATTTATTAATAAAAGGATCCATTTGTTATAAAATTATAAACCTCAGGGGATGAAATATAATTTCTAGGACTACAGGAGGTGATTCATATTTAAACAAACCTTAGGGGGTGTAGTGGTAATTTACCCTAATTAAAAAAATGAAGTGTGGTTTCTTTACTCTTTTTTTTCTTCTTTTTTATTTATTTATTTATTTATAGAATGTGTATGGTTTCTTTACTCATTGATTCTCCAC